GACTAAGTCCTCCCTACAGCCAGGATCACTGATGGATATAGTGACTAAGTCCTCCCTACAGCCAGGATCACTGATGGATATAGTGACTAAGTATGGCTATAGTGACTAAGTATGGATATAGTGACTAAGTCCTCCCTACAGCCAGGATCACTGATGGATATAGTGACTAAGTCCTCCCTACAGCCAGGATCACTGATGGATATAGTGACTAAGTATGGCTATAGTGACTAAGTATGGATATAGTGACTAAGTCCTCCCTACAGCCAGGATCACTGATGGATATAGTGACTAAGTATGGATATAGTGACTAAGTCCTCCCTACAGCCAGGATCACTGATGGATATAGTGACTAAGTCCTCCCTACAGCCAGGATCACTGATGGATATAGTGACTAAGTCCTCCCTACAGCCAGGATCACTGATGGATATAGTGACTAAGTATGGATATAGTGACTAAGTCCTCCCTACAGCCAGGATCACTGATGGATATAGTGACTAAGTCCTCCCTACAGCCAGGATCACTGATGGATACAGTGACTAAGTCCTCCCTACAGCCAGGATCACTGATGGATATAGTGACTAAGTATGGATATAGTGACTAAGTATGGATATAGTGACTAAGTCCTCCCTACAGCCAGGATCACTGATGGATATAGTGACTAAGTATGGATACAGTGACTAAGTTCTCTCTACAGCCAGGATCACTGATGGATATAGTGACTAAGTCCTCCCTACAGCCAGGATCACTGATGGATATAGTGACTAAGTATGGATATAGTGACTAAGTCCTCCCTACAGCCAGGATCACTGATGGATATAGTGACTAAGTATGGATACAGTGACTAAGTTCTCTCTACAGCCAGGATCACTGATGGATATAGTGACTAAGTCCTCCCTACAGCCAGGATCACTGATGGATATAGTGACTAAGTCCTCTCTACAGCCAGGATCACTGATTGATATAGTGACTAAGTCCTCCCTACAGCCAGGGTCTGTTGATTGGTGTCACCATATGAGATCTTAGCTGTTGTTATATGCTGTAATATCCCAAGCAAACACTTGGAATTCAGTTTTAGGTTGTTTGCTTTCAAATGATTTCACAGAATTGAAAGGTTATGTAAAATGTGTTTGATTGCAACCTTAAATGAAAATAGAAAGCTTTTATTTCAAAGACATTCTTTCAACAAATCCATTTTGAAAAAGCTATTTGGAGATTTTTAACACAAACTGAAAAAGGCCTTGAAATTCATTTTGAAGCATTTATTGTGTGACACAAGGATGGTAAATGGCTAGTTGCTCCAGGTATCCCTGGAGACAGCTGTTATTAGGTTTAGAAATCATCTCCTCAAGTTTCTTGTGATGCCACTTGTCAGAGATATCCACAGGAAAGTTACACCAAATTCCCAAGACAGTACCCACTAGTGTGTTAAAGGGTCAAAGGTTATTTCCACATGATAATGTTTATTGTGATTGAGAAACTTGGAATGATAGATTCAACACTCCTCTTTTTCCTTTTGTGTTTTTCAAATGAAAATCTCCTTTATTTTTACCACATTAATCAAATGCTATTTTTTTCTGTGATCTGAGAATGGCAAATACTTTGTATCATTATTCATCAGCCTAAAACAAAGTTGGTTGCCATGGATACTGTGCAGTGAGTTCCACATTGATTTTAGTGTAAAGTGTAACAAGCATTATTTAGTGATTCCCTATGAACAAGTTTCTTCAACATATAAAAGGTCATGGTCACTTCTTCTAAAACAGGACTGTGTCAGGTTGTAAATGGGATTTTCTCTATGTTTATTGGACATGCTAGCATACAAAGGATATTAGTAAGTTGTTCATCCATGATGATACAGTATGTAACTTCAAGTCTAAAAGAAATCATGCAGTAAGTAAGATTTTTCTTCCTGGTTTTTTTTTTACAAAAACTCCAGTTTGAATCTCTTTGTTAGGGAACAGTAAGGTTATTTTGTAGAGTTTACAATCAGGTTGGGGATGGAAATTCAATGAAATGCAAATTACATATAACTTCTAATTTGCATATATCTGGTATTCAATCAGATTTATTCAACTGGAAGCAAAAAAATTAAATTGAATTTAAAATTTTGGAATTTAGTTTATACTGGAAATTTGACTTTTCTGCTTCTAGGGATAGAATATTGACTGAATTTACATTCTCAGTACCATTTTCCATGAATGGTCCATAAACTATTGAAAAAGAATTTTTTTTTTCTTTTTCTGAAACTTGTGCATTACTATGGATGATCAATAGATTCAGTCAGCTTTCCTGAATTTGAGTTTTCTGGAAATAGCATAAAATATCTATACAGCTATGATTCATCAGTATATCATATAGACATTGATTCTATGTTATATTCTGAGTCTGTAACTCTTATTTCAACCCAAGCTCTCTTTACTTCAGTTTTGTTTGTAGCCCTTAATAACTTCATTAGTCTAAGTGTTCATGCTATTTTTTTCCTTTAATTTGTGCTCATTCTACCTCAGTATCGTTTTATGTGGAGTTTTTCTTCCACAGTGTTATTTTAAGTGAACCCACTTCAAACAACTGTTATTGTGTGTAAGCCCAATCTACCCCACTGTTATTGTGGAAAAACCCAATCTACACCTGTGTTATTGTGGAAAAACCCAAACTACCCCTGTGTTATTAAGGAACCCAATCTACCCCTGTGTTATTGTGTGTGAGCCCAATCTACCTCACTGTTATTGTGTAGAGCCCAATCTACCTTACTGCTATTGTGTGTGAGCCCAATCTACCTCACTGTTATTGTGTAGAGCCCAATCTACCTTACTGTTATTGTGTGTGAGCCCAATCTACCTCACTGTTATTGTGTGTGAGCCCAATCTACCTTACTGCTATTGTGTGTGAGCCCAATCTACCTCACTGTTATTGTGTGTGAGCTCAATCTACCTTACTGTTATTGTGTGTGAGCTCAATCTACCTTACTGTTATTGTGTGTGAGCCCAATCTACCTCACTGTTATTGTGTGTGAGCTCAATCTACCTTACTGTTATTGTGTGTGAGCCCAATCTACCTCACTGTTATTGTGTGTGAGCCCAATCTACCTCACTGTTATTGTGTGTGAGCCCAATCTACCTCACTGTTATTGTGTGTGAGCTCAATCTAATTGTGTGTGAGCTCAATCTACCTCACTGTTATTGTGTGTGAGCCCAATCTACCTCACTGTTATTGTGTGTGAGCCCAATCTACCTCACTGTTATTGTGTGTGAGCCCAATCTACCTCACTGTTATTGTGTGTGAGCCCAATCTACCTCACTGTTATTGTGTGTGAGCCCAATCTACCTTACTGTTATTGTGTGTGAGCCCAATCTACCTTACTGTTATTGTGTGTGAGCTCAATCTAATTGTGTGTGAGCTCAATCTACCTCACTGTTATTGTGTGTGAGCCCAATCTACCTCACTGTTATTGTGTGTGAGCCCAATCTACCTCACTGTTATTGTGTGTGAGCCCAATCTACCTCACTGTTATTGTGTGTGAGCTCAATCTACCTTACTGTTATTGTGTGTGAGCCCAATCTACCTCACTGTTATTGTGTGTCAGCCCAATCTACCTCACTGTTATTGTGTGTAAGCCCAATCTACCTCACTGTTATTGTGTGTGAGCTCAATCTACCTTACTGTTATTGTGTGTGAGCCCAATCTACCTCACTGTTATTGTGTGTGAGCTCAATCTACCTCACTGTTATTGTGTGTGAGCTCAATCTACCTTACTGACATTGTGTGTGAGCCCAATCTATGTGTATGAGCTCAATCTACCTCACTGTTATTGTGTGTGAGCCCAATCTACCTCACTGTTATTGTGTGTGAGCCCAATCTACGTCACTGTTATTGTGTGTGAGCTCAATCTACCTTACTGTTATTGTGTGTGAGCCCAATCTACCTCACTGTTATTGTGTGTGAGCCCAATCTACCTCACTGTTATTATCATGATGTATTAGATCCCAGTATGTGTTAAGTAAATGTTAAGGCAGTTTGCAAGATGTAACACCAAGAGCAGCTGTATTACAAAAGTTGAAAACAGAATGCTATCATGCTGAGCTGAGAGACTGTTGCCCTGTAACAGCATTACACAGTTATACATTTTATTTCATCTACAGGCACCTCATCAAATATCTTGCTATGCATTACAGTTATCTCAGGGTTTTTAGGTCAATTAGAGGTCAAATTCTGCTGTGGATCAAAGTTGCTCTATTTCACAAGAAGTCTTACCAGATAGTTATTGGTTGCAGTTTTTCAGATGTTCTATATATATCTACATGTATCCAAAATTCATCAAAAACAAAATGCAGACATGAATTCTGATAGACAGAACACTGGTTCATTATATCTTCCACACCTGGAGACAGAACACTGGTTCATAAGGTCTACCACACCTGGAGACAGAACACTGGTTCATAAGGTCTACCACACCTGGAGACAGAACACTTGTTCATAAGGTCTACCACACCTGGAGACAGAACACTGGTTCATTAGGTCTACCACACCTGGAGACAGAACACTGGTTCATAAGGTCCCTCACACCTGGAGACAGAACACTTGTTTATAAGGTCTACCACACCTGGAGACAGAACACTGGTTCATAAGGTCTACCACACCTGGAGACAGAACACTGGTTCATAAGGTCTACCACACCTGGAGACAGAACACTGGTTCATAAGGTCTACCACACTTGGAGACAGAACACTGGTTCATAAGGTCTACCACACCTGGAGACAGAACACTGGTTCATAAGGTCTACCACACCTGGAGACAGAACACTGGTGCATTAGTTCTACAAAATCTAGAGACAGAATACTGATTCACAGGGTCAACGCCACTTAGTGACAGCACACTGGTGCATTAGAATTACAAAATCTAGAGTCAGCACACTGGTTCATTAGAATTACAACACACAGAGACAGGCAAATAGTTTATTCGGTCTGCAACACCTAGAGATTGCGGACCTTACATTGATACTTTGAGATGGACTTGTGTAATCAGTGTAACAGTATGGTTTAGTGAACTACAGTTTGGTGGGCACGCATGGTTGACAGGCAAGGTAAAGTGACAAGGCCCAGACATTGACAGCATATCTCACTACAGCACTGGAGCTGAAGGCTCACAAAGCAGTACTGATAGCCTTCTCAACAGTTGTACACACTGGAATTTAAAGCTAGCTGCTGTCTGTATGTATCAGTGCATCAATCAGTCAGTGACTTCTGTGTGATTTCTCGGATTATTACTGTTCTAACTCAAAGGTACGGTAATCCATGTCTATTTACCTGTGCTCAACACTTGTTTGTTGTCATACCTGTTACAATACTCATGTGTGAATCAAAAGATTTAATGTTAACAGGGAGTCTGTAACAATTGTCTGGTCTGAGAGTACATCCTTCAAGTAGTTATGTACTACTGTGTTACATGTCTATAGTAGTTGTAAAATGCTGTGTTACATGTCTCTAGTAGTTATGTACTGCTGTGTCATAGTCTCTAGTAGTTATGTACTACTGTGTCACTGTCTCCAGTAGTTATATACTGCTGTGTCACAGTCTCTAGTAGTTATATACTGCTGTGTTACTTGTCTCCAGTAGTTATGTACTGCTGTGTTACATGTCTCCAGTAGTTATGTACTGCTGTGTCACAGTCTCTAGTAGTGATGTACTGCTGTGTCACAGTCTCTAGTAGATATGTACTGCTGTGTCACAGTCTCTAGTAGTTATGTACTACTGTGTCACTGTCTCTAGTAGTTATATACTGCTGTGTTACATGTCTCTATTAGTTATATACTGCTGTGTTACATGTCTCCAGTAGTTATATACTGCTTAGTCACAGTCTCTAGTAGTTATATACTGCTGTGTTACATGTCTCCAGTAGTTATGTACTGCTGTGTTACAGTCTCTAGTAGTGATATACTGCTGTGTCACAGTCTCAAGTAGTTATGTACTGCTGTGTCACAGTCTCTAGTAGTTATGTACTGCTGTGTCACGGTCTCTAGTAGTTATGTACTGCTGTGTCACAGTCTCTAGTAGTTATGTACTGCTGTGTCACAGTCTCTAGTAATTATGTACTGCTGTGTTACATGCCTCTAGTAGTTATGTACTGCTGTGTTACATGTCTCTAGTAGTTATATACTGCTGTGTCACAGTCTCTAGTAGTTATTTACTGCTGTGTCACAGTCTCTAGTAGTTATGTACTGCTGTGTCACAGTCTCAAGTAGTTATGTACTGCTGTGTCACAGTCGTTAGTAGTTATGTACTGCTGTGTCACAGTCTCTAGTAGTTATGTACTGCTGTGTCACAGTCTCTAGTAGTTATGTACTGCTGTGTCACAGTCTGTAGTAGTTATGTACTGCTGTTTCTCAGTCTCTAGTAGCTATGTATGCCGTGATACTGTCTCTAGTAAGTATGTATTGCTGCATTAAAGCGTGTAATGTTTACATTGTTAAACAGCAAATCAATTATCTACTGGAGTAATCACTCTAGCTAATTTATAGAGGAGAAGTAATGAGAGGATATCTACATGATAAAGATTGATATTGAATTAGGCTTCCTGTGGCTGATACATCTATTTCTGTGGTGTAAATGATTGATGGGCTAATGAATGGACAGCTACAGGTATAAATACTTTTACAGTTCAAATAGGATAGGGAACAACATAGTAATTAGAATGATATCTGATACACTAGTGGAGGCTCAGGAACCTACACCAAAATTCTGACTGAAGACTGAAGTATACTGAACCCTTTACGTAATACATTATCCAATGGTAATACAAGTGTATGTGTAATATTCCCATAACCTACATCTGTGGTAGATTGTCTGACTTCTCTTGAACATGTGTTATGATTATGTTTGCATGATGTTAACCCAGAATGGACTGTATACACGGGCTGTGTTATTCTCCATTGAGGTTCTAGATTGTATATAAATATAATATAAATATAAATTCAAACACTAATGTAGCTAGTGACAATGAGGAATAGGGATAACAAAACCATTGGATTTATCATAGTCAGGGGACGGATGGATCTGTTCAAAATGGAAACAAAATAATTGACACCAACATCAACATGTTACATTCACATGTACAGGTCACATGACACTTTTAGGTAAAGGTTACATGTCATTCACATGTACAGGTCACATGACACTTGTAGGTAAAGGTCACACAGCATTCACATGTACAGGTCACATGACACTTTTAGGTAAAGGTTACATGTCATTCACATGTACAGGTCACATGACACTTGTAGGTAAATGTCACACGGCATTCACATGTACAGGTCACATGACACTTGTAGGTAAAGGTCACACGGCATTCACATGTACAGGTCACATGACACTTTTAGGTAAAGGTTACATGTCATGCACATGAACAGGTCACATGACACTTGTAGGTAAAAGTCACACAGCATTCACATGTACAGGTCACATGACACTTGTAGGTAAAGGTTACATGTCATTCACATGTACAGGTCACATGACACTTGTAGGTAAAGGTCACACGGCATTCACATGTACAGGTCACATAACACTTTTAGGTAAAAGTCACACAGCATTCACATCTACAGGTTAAATTACACTTGTAGGTAAATGTCACACGGCATTCACATGTACAGGTCACATGACACTTTTAGGTAAAGGTTACATGTCATTCACATGTACAGGTCACATGACACTTGTAGGTAAAGGTTACATGGCATTTACATGTACAGGTCACATGACACTTGTAGGTAAACGTCACACTGCATTCACATGTACAGGTCACATGACACTTGTAGGTAAAGGTCACACGGCATTCACATGTACAGGTCACATGACACTTTTAGGTAAAGGTTACATGTCATGCACATGAACAGGTCACATGACACTTGTAGGTAAAAGTCACACAGCATTCACATGTACAGGTCACATGACACTTGTAGGTAAAGGTTACATGTCATTCACATGTACAGGTCACATGACACTTGTAGGTAAAGGTCACACGGCATTCACATGTACAGGTCACATAACACTTTTAGGTAAAAGTCACACAGCATTCACATCTACAGGTTAAATTACACTTGTAGGTAAATGTCACACGGCATTCACATGTACAGGTCACATGACACTTTTAGGTAAAGGTTACATGTCATTCACATGTACAGGTCACATGACACTTGTAGGTAAAGGTTACATGGCATTTACATGTACAGGTCACATGACACTTGTAGGTAAACGTCACACGGCATTCACATGTACAGGTCACATGACACTTTTAGGTAAAGGTTACATGTCATGCACATGAACAGGTCACATGACACTTGTAGGTAAAAGCCACACAGCATTCACATGTACAGGTCACATGACACTTGTAGGTAAAGGTTACATGTCATTCACATGTACAGGTCACATGACACTTGTAGGTAAAGGTCACACGGCATTCACATGTACAGGTCACATAACACTTTTAGGTAAAAGTCACACGTCATTCACATCTACAGGTTAAATTACACTTGTAGGTAAATGTCACACGGCATTCACATGTACAGGTCACATGACACTTGTAGGTAAAGTTCACACGTCATTCACATGTACAGGTCACATGACACTTGTAGGTAAAGGTTACATGTCATACACATGTACAGGTCACATGACACTTGTAGGTAAAGGTCACACGGCATTCACATGTACAGGTCACATAACACTTTTAGGTAAAAGTCACACGGCATTCACATCTACAGGTTAAATTACACTTGTAGGTAAATGTCACACGTCATTCACATGTACAGGTCACATGACACTTGTAGGTAAACGTTACATGTCATTCACATGTACAGGTCAAATGACACTTGTAGGTAAAGGTCACACGGCATTCACATGTACAGGTCACATGACACTTGTAGATAAAGGTTACATGTCATTCACATGTACAGGTCACATGACACTTGTAGGTAAAGGTTACATGTCATTCACATGTACAGGTCAAATGACACTTGTAGGTAAAGGTCACACGGCATTCACATGTACAGGTCACATGACACTTGTAGATAAAGGTTACATGTCATTCACATGTACAGGTCACATGACACTTGTAGGTAAAGGTCACACGGCATTCACATGTACAGGTCACATGAAACTTGTAGGTAAAGGTTACATGTCATTCACATGTACAGGTCACATGACACTTGTAGATAAAGGTTACATGTCATTCACATGTACAGGTCACATGACACTTGTAGGTAAAGGTTACATGTCATTCACATGTACAGGTCACATGACACTTGTAGGTAAAGGTTACATGTCATTCACATGTACAGGTCAAATGACACTTGTAGGTAAAGGTCACACATCATTCACATGTACAGGTCACATGAAACTTGTAGGTAAAGGTTACATGTCATTCACATGTACAGGTCACATGACACTTGTAGGTAAAGGTTACATGTCATTCACATGTACAGGTCACATGACACTTGTAGGTAAAGTTTACATGTCATTCACATGTACAGGTCACATGACACTTGTAGGTAAAGGTTACATGTCATTCACATGTACAGGTCACATGACACTTGTAGGTAAAGTTTACATGTCATTCACATGTACAGGTCAAATGACACTTGTAGGTAAAAGTCACACAGCATTCACATGTACAGGTCAAATGACACTTGTAGGTAAAGTTTACATGTCATTCACATGTACAGGTCAAATGACACTTGTAGGTAAAAGTCACACAGCATTCACATGTACAGGTCAAATGACACTTGTAGGTAAAAGTCACACAGCATTCACATGTACAGGTCACATGATATACCATCTACAGGTTGACACCAACAACACTGAAAGTGATATCTGGTGAGTGGCCACAAGATTAAACTTGTTGTGATTTCCTATCAGGGCACAAAATAACACTGCTGTGATATCTATTCATGAGGGTGATATCTTTTCAGATTACAAGATAACACAGGAGGTGATATCTTATTGAGCCACAACATAAACTGAAGGTGATATCAGGTCACAAGGTTAAACTGAGATATTGTCAGGTCACAAGATAAAACTGAGATATTGTCAGGTCAAAAGGTAAAACTGAGATATTGTCAGTCACAAGATAAAACTGAGATATTGTCAGGTCACAAGATAAAACTGAGATATTGTCAGGTCACAAGGTAAAACTGAGATATTGTCAGGTCACAAGATAAAACTGAGATGTTGTCAGGTCACAAGATAAAACTGAGATATTGTCAGTCACAAGATAAAACTGAGATATTGTCAGGTCACAAGGTAAAACTGAGATATTGTCAGGTCACAAGGTAAAACTGAGATATTTTCAGTCACAAGGTAAAACTGAGATATTGTCAAGTCACAAGGTTAAACTGAGATATTGTCAGGTCACAAGGTAAAACTGAGATATTGTCAGGTTACAAGGTTAAACTGAGATATTGTCAGGTTACAAGGTAAAACTGAGATATTGTCAGTCACAAGGTAAAACTGAGATATTGTCAGGTCACAAGATAAAACTGAGATATTGTCAGGTCAAAAGGTAAAACTGAGATATTGTCAGTCACAAGGTAAAACTGAGATATTGTCAGGTCACAAGATAAAACTGAGATATTGTCAGGTCACAAGGTAAGGTGACTCTCCCTACACAGTTAAAAGGACCTGTGTGGGATCTGTAACCACAGTGACCCTCCCTACACTGTTAGGAGGATCTGTATAGGATCTGTAGCCACAGTGACCCTCACTACACTGTTAGGAGGATCTGTAACCACAGTGACCCTCACTACACTGTTAGGAGGATCTGTAACCACAGTGACCCTCCCTACACTGTTAGGAGGATCTGTAGCCACAGTGACCCTCACTACACTGTTAGGAGGATCTGTATAGGATCTGTAACCAGTGACCCTCACTACACTGTTAGGAGGATCTGTAACCACAGTGACCCAGTGACCCTCACTACACTGTTAGGAGGATCTGTAACCACAGTGACCCTCACTACACTGTTAGGAGGATCTGTAACCACAGTGACCCTCACTACACTGTTAGGAGGATCTGTAACCACAGTGACCCTCACTACACTGTTAGGAGGATCTGTAACCACAGTGACCCTCACTACACTGTTAGGAGGATCTGTAACCACAGTGACCCTCACTACACTGTTAGGAGGATCTGTATCCACAGTGACCCTCACTACACTGTTAGGAGGATCTGTAACCACAGTGACCTTCACTACACTGTTAGGGGGATCTGTAACCACAGTGACCTTCACTACACTGTTAGGGGGATCTGTATAGGATCTGTAACCACAGTGACCTTCACTACACTGTTAGGAGGATCTGTATAGGATCTGTAACCACAGTGACCTTCACTACACTGTTAGGAGGATCTGTAACCACAGTGACCTTCACTACACTGTTAGGAGGATCTGTAACCACAGTGACCCTCACTACACTGTTAGGAGGATCTGTAGCCACAGTGACCTTCACTACACTGTTAGGGGGATCTGTAACCACAGTGACCCTCACTACACTGTTAGGAGGATCTGTAACCAGTGACCTTCACTACACTGTTAGGAGATCTGTATAGGATCTGTAACCAGTGACCTTCACTACACTGTTAGGAGGATCTGTAACCACAGTGACCCTCACTACACTGTTAGGAGGATCTGTATAGGATCTGTAACCACAGTGACCCTCACTACACTGTTAGGAGGATCTGTAACCACAGTGACCCTCACTACACTGTTAGGAGGATCTGTAACCACAGTGACCCTCACTACACTGTTAGGAGGATCTGTGACCCTCACTACACTGTTAGGACCACAGTGACCCTCACTACACTGTTAGGAGGATTTGTAACCACAGTGACCCTCACTACACTGTTAGGAGGATCTGTAACCACAGTGACCCTCACTACACTGTTAGGAGGATTTGTAACCACAGTGACCCTCACTACACTGTTAGGAGGATCTGTAACCACAGTGACCCTCACTACACTGTTAGGAGGATCTGTAGCCACAGTGACCTTCACTACACTGTTAGGGGGATCTGTAACCACAGTGACCTTCACTACACTGTTAGGAAGATCTGTAACCACAGTGACCTTCACTACACTGTTAGGAGGATCTGTAACCACAATGACCCTCACTACACTGTTAGGAGGATCTGTAGCCACAGTGACCCTCACTACACTGTTAGGAGGATCTGTAACCACAGTGACCCTCACTACACTGTTAGGAGGATCTGTAACCACAGTGACCCTCACTACACTGTTAGGAGGATCTGTAACCACAGTGACCCTCACTACACTGTTAGGAGGATCTGTAGCCACAGTGACCCTCACTACACTGTTAGGAGGATCTGTATAGGATCTGTAACCAGTGACCCTCACTACACTGTTAGGAGGATCTGTACAGGATCTGTAACCAGTGACCCTCACTACACTGTTAGGAGGATCTGTACTGGATCTGTAACCAGTGACCTTCACTACACTGTTAGGAGGATCTGTATAGGATCTGTAGCCACAGTGACCCTCACTACACTGTTAGGAGGATCTGTAACCACAGTGACCCTCACTACACTGTTAGGAGGATCTGTAACCACAGTGACCCTCACTACACTGTTAGGAGGATCTGTAACCACAGTGACCCTCACTACACTGTTAGGAGGATCTGTAACCACAGTGACCCTCACTACACTGTTAGGAGGATCTGTAACCACAGTGACCCTCACTACACTGTTAGGAGGATCTGTAACCACAGTGACCCTCACTACACTGTTAGGACCCAGTGACCCTCACTACACTGTTAGGAGGATCTGTAACCACAGTGACCCTCACTACACTGTTAGGAGGATCTGTAACCACAGTGACCCTCACTACACTGTTAGGAGGATCTGTAGCCACAGTGACCCTCACTACACTGTTAGGAGGATCTGTAACCACAGTGACCCTCACTACACTGTTAGGAGGATCTGTATAGGATCTGTAACCACAGTGACCCTCACTACACTGTTAGGAGGATCTGTAACCACAGTGACCCTCACTACACTGTTAGGAGGATCTGTAACCACAGTGACCCTCACTACACTGTTAGGAGGATCTGTATAGGATCTGTAGCCACAGTGACCCTCCCTACACTGTTAGGAGGATCTGTAACCACAGTGACCCTCACTACACTGTTAGGAGGATCTGTAACCACAGTGACCCTCACTACACTGTTAGGAAGATCTGTAACCACAGTGACCCTCACTACACTGTTAGGAGGATCTGTATAGGATCTGTAACCACAGTGACCCTCACTACACTGTTAGGAGGATCTGTACAGGATCTGTAACCAGTGACCCTCACTACACTGTTAGGAAGATCTGTAACCACAGTGACCCTCACTACACTGTTAGGAGGATCTGTAACCACAGTGACCCTCACTACACTGTTAGGAGGATCTGTAACCACAGTGACCCTCACTACACTGTTAGGAGGATCTGTAACCACAGTGACCCTCACTACACTGTTAGGAGGATCTGTAACCACAGTGACCCTCACTACACTGTTAGAAGGATCTGTAGCCACAGTGACCTTCACTACACTGTTAGGGGGATCTGTAACCACAGTGACCCTCACTACACTGTTAGGAGGATCTGTAACCAGTGACCTTCACTACAGACACACTCACTACACTGTTAGGAGGATCTGTAACCACAGTGACCCTCACTACACTGTTAGGAGGATCTGTAGCCACAGTGACCCTCACTACACTGTTAGGAGGATCTGTATAGGATCTGTAGCCACAGTGACCCTCACTACACTGTTAGGAGGATCTGTATAGGATCTGTAACCACAGTGACCCTCACTACACTGTTAGGAGGATCTGTAACCACAGTGACCCTCACTACACTGTTAGGAGGATCTGTAACCACAGTGACCCTCACTACACTGTTAGGAGGATCTGTAACCACCCTCACTACACTGTGATACACTGTTAGGAGGATCTGTAACCACAGTGACCCTCACTACACTGTTAGGAGGATCTGTATCCACAGTGACCCTCACTACACTGTTAGGAGGATCTGTAGCCACAGTGACCCTCACTACACTGTTAGGAGGATCTGTAACCACAGTGACCCTCACTACACTGTTAGGAGGATCTGTAACCACAGTGACCCTCACTACACTGTTAGGAGGATCTGTAACCACAGTGACCCTCACTACACTGTTAGGAGGATCTGTAACCACAGTGACCATCACTACACTGTTAGGAGGATCTGTAACCACAGTGACCCTCACTACACTGTTAGGAGGATCTGTATAGGATCTGTAACCAGTGACCCTCACTACACTGTTAGGAGGATCTGTACTGGATCTGTAACCAGTGACCCTCACTACACTGTTAGGAGGATCTGTACTGGATCTGTAACCAGTGACCCTCACTACACTGTTAGGAGGATCTGTAACCACAGTGACCTTCACTACACTGTTAGGAGGATCTGTATAGGATCTGTAACCAGTGACCCTCACTACACTGTTAGGAGGATCTGTATAGGATCTGTAGCCAGTGACCCTCACTACACTGTTAGGAGGATCTGTATAGGATCTGTAACCAGTGACCTTCACTACACTGTTAGGAGGATCTGTATAGGATCTGTAGCCACAGTGACCCTCACTACACTGTTAGGAGGATCTGTATAGGATCTGTAGCCACAGTGACCTTCACTACACTGTTAGGAGGATCTGTATAGGATCTGTAACCAATGACCCTCACTACACTGTTAGGAGGATCTGTATAGGATCTGTAGCCACAGTGACCTTCACTACACTGTTAGGAGGATCTGTATAGGATCTGTAACCAATGACCTTCACTACACTGTTAGGAGGATCTGTAACCAGTGACCTTCACTACACTGTTAGGAGGATCTGTATAGGATCTGTAACCAGTGACCTTCTTCACACTTATAGAAGAGCATGTAACTTAAGTGACCACCATTTTTGAGGGAAAAACATCCTGTTTTATTCTTAAACACCAAGCTTTGATTTTAAGAAACTTTAAGAAAAAAAAAAGGATAAATTGATAGTTTTCAGTCTTTTTGTCATGAATGTGATTATCTTTGAACTTTGTGTGACTACTTTGTCACCTAAGTAAGCCTTTATCTATCGTTCAGTATTTAACATATTGTTTTGTTTGTTTTTTTAGTTCATAAAAAATGGGAAACAAATCATCTAGCAAGAAGTTGCCAAAGGAGGATTTAGAGTTTTTAGTAAACAACACAAAGTTCTCCAAAGCAGAGATAAAGGATTGGTATCGTGGATTTATGGTAAGCTCCTTTTTCATTTCAGTAATAATTACCATAACTTTAGTATGCAAATATAGTACCTACACCCATCTTTGTATCCCAACAACAAAAGATTCAAACAATACCGCCCCCCCCTACGATCCATGAACCATCACGGCAGGAACATAGAGTTATCTCCCTTCCTCTTACCTTTATGGCTGCATACGAGAGTGGAGGTGTCTGAGCTAAGTGCTTTCTTTACTCCTTCTCTTCGTACTGCTATTGTTGTTTTGAGTTACTTCCTTAGTAGTCTATAAACCCATCTCCCAACATATTTGTGAAATTAAGTATTGGCATTTGTTTATTTTGACCGTTTTTCTGGTCGTGTTTTCCTCCACGTGTTCGAGTGCATGACCACGTGTCTCGTTGTTCGGATTTTTGGAATTGGTTTTCTTGCTTTTTCTTTTTTGCAGTGCAGTCATGCTGCGTACGGTAGGCTTTGTACTCTCGTTCATAGTTTTTAGAAAACTTTGTTGTCCTTGTTTTTCATTGTTACAATTTTTTTTTATTGTTTCGATGATGGATAGTGCCGGGTTACGTCGGGGGTCAACGCATGGGTGTTCCCATTTCAATGGAGAACGGGTCCTCATGATGGCTGTCCCCTTTGCCATCCTTGCAGCCAGACTTTGCCATGTGAACTTTGTTTGCACACGGAGTCTGCTGCCAAGGCTTCCATGCCTGTCCGGCGAACTTTCCGCCAGAAGAGGGATTCGTCCTCTTTTTCCTGTAAGGGAAGTAAGCTTTTTAAGTCCTCCTCCTCCGGTTCTGAACCGGTAGGTGTTAGGCATTCCTGCATTCCTGCCGGGGATGCTCTCGTCTCGTCAAGCTCTGCCCTCGAGCAGGGGGTGTTCCCCCCTGTCCAGGTGCACCCTGGAGTAAGTTGGGTGGACAGCCTGACCCTGACCTGTACTTTCGAGGAGAGGTTCTGGAGCGACATATTTCTTACCAGGGTTGTCTGTGAGGCGCAGTTCACTAATCCATGCGTCAGTGCGAGGCCTGCTCTCCTGACCAGGTGTCTGGTTTTCGGTCACCTTTTCCCCCGGGCTCTGGGTATACGGGTGCCTGCTGGCATTCTACCCTGGGCTGCCCAGGCCAGCCTGCGGATGGTTCTGGGTACCAGCAGTATCCCAGCAGTTACAGGCCTAGCTCGTACACGTCTGGATGTCCACCTGGTGGGATTGGCGGTCCATCCATGTTTTTCGGACAGGTTGGCCAGTTCAGGGATCACTCCCAGCCCGCGGGACCATTCACAATCCCTCAGGGGTTTGGGTTTAACCCTATGGGTTTTCCATCGTGGAATCCCTGGGGGTTGGTCTCTCCCTCTAGGAGACGGTTAAGCAGTTTGGAATCCCCCCCAATATTCTGCTACTTCGGGGGCCTTGACGGCCGCTCCTAAGAAGGTTTGCCAGACCATTAGGACTTCCGACTCCAGTGTGGACCCGTTGGTCTACAAGTCCCAGGGGTCGGCTTCGGGTCTTAGACTCAAGCCTACAACCACGGCGGTTAGGCACTCTGTGTCTAAACCCCGTATGGAAGAGTCTCACTCTCTGGAGTTGGCTCCTCCGGTGGCCCCTGTTCCTCCCACAGAGACTTCGGTCCCGATCAAGGAGGAGATGGATTTTGAGGGCGCGGGCATGGCAGAGGTAGACAGTGTTATTCATCTTTTCCCTGGGTGCTCAGACATTGACCCATCCGAGTCGTCTGATGACGACCCTACCAGTGAGGAGGGTTTCCAGGTTGAAGATAGCTGAGGGCTGCTAAAGCTGAGGCTCAGCATGCTCTGTCCAAGATACAGGCCCTCCACCACGTTTTGCGTCGTTGATTCCCGAGTCCACCACCCTTTTAGGTTCTTTGGTGGCCCCTCGGGCGTCCGGTCGCTCAGATCTGACTCTGCCAGATGGCACTATCATGTCTTCAGCTCTGGCCACTGCCCGGGCTTGGGTTATGGAGAAGATTTCTTCCTCTACCCGGGTTTGCTGGACTGCAACTCGGCATTGGTGATCTGTCGGAGGCTTCTGCCAACGACTATGCCAGGCATGACAGGCAACTAGCCTCTCAACCAGCTAAGCTGGGATGGAGAAAGCTGGCGGCCTGGCCCAGCAAATCGGTGGACCAGGTGGTGTTCAGTGCTAAGGAACACCACAAGATGGAGAGAATGTTGTGTCTCTCTATCCATTACTTGCTCTCCAATTGAGGAACCCTACCTCTCCCGTTTGTTGACTGCCCCCTTCTCGGGCTTTACCCTGTTAGGGGGAGCACTTCCTTCTGTACAGAAGGACATGAAGGAGGACTCTGTCTCCTCAGCACTTCTTGTGAAGAGGTTTTAAACTGAGAAGGGCAGTGCCTCGCAGGGGTCTTGGGCAGACCAAGAGCCGGATCGGGTGGACGGCTGTCTTCCTGTTGGGGGTGGGGGGGCGTTCTGTCCGCTTTTCTCTCGCAGTGGCGGGAGATCACGGAAGATGCTTGGGATTTGTCGGTGGTCAGGGAGGGTTTAGGTATCCCCCTTCTTCGAGATCCGCCCCTCACCACACAGCCAAGTTTCTTTCCCCCTCCAGGGGATGCAGAAAAGGGCACTCCAGGAGGAAGTAGGGACAATGCTGGCCAAGGGCATGGTAGAGGAAGTGCCCATGTCGGAGTGCACTCCCGGCTTCTACTCCAGAAAGGTTCATGTTCGGAAGAAGTCTGGGGCGGTGTGGCATCTGATCACTTCAAGATGGAGACCCCAAGGGGCATTATGGACTCTGTGAGGGATGGAATGTGGGCAACTTCAGTAGATCAGAAGGATGCCTACTTCCATATTCCCATCAATAAGTCGGCACGGAAGTTCCTCCATTTCACGTGCAATGGCAGGGTGTTCCAATTCTGGGCCATGCCCTTGCTGCAGATGGTCGTGGGATTCCTTCACTCACGTGGAATAGACGTCCACATCTATTTCGACAACTCCTCATGCTTCATTTGGTGAGGGAATCGCTAGTGAAGGACACTCATCTGGTCATGAAAGTTTTGCTCGGTGGGGTGCTCCATAAAGCTTATTAGAGGAAGGGAGATCACTCTATGTTCCTGCCATGATGGCTCATGGATCATGGATGTTGTTAAGATACAAAGATAGGTGCAGGTATTGTATTTGCATACTAAAGTTATGGTAAGTATAAAAATGAAAATTGGTTTTACATGAAAAAACCTCAATATTAAAGTTTTTAGTAAAAACACAAAGTTCTCTAAAGCAGAGATAAAGGATTGCTACTTTGGGTTTATTTTGAGAAGTTTTATAGAATTACTATTGATTCAGCTCTCTTACCAACCAGTGTTCTTCAACCCACTGACTACTGAACACTTTGGAGACAAACTAGACTAAAAAGGACGTACAGGAATATATGAAGATATACAGTAACTGTTATTTTAACATGGTTTGATGGAGCAGAATGGAGGTGTGTCCTATATGAAGGTGGATAGGGATGATTACCTTTGTATGCTTCTTTTGATGTTTTAAGTCCTTGTTACTGCTTACGACCTTTAAGGATGGTCATAGGTAAAAGGTCAAATTAAGGATGATTTTGTAGTGTTATCACACTGAATTGTCATTCCTTGATTATGGTAGTACCCCATCTTCATACTGAGCTTATCAATCCTTATTTATCATTAGGGAGTAGCATGTTTTAAAGATCTTAAAAGAGATATTATGATTATGACTAACTTTGTTTAAAAAATTGTAAAGCCTGAAGCAACAGACTTGTGCTCGCCAAAACGCAAATCTCTTCATATGGCAACTTGAATATTATTGAGATAGATGTTGCCATGGTAACTGTCTCCAAGCCTTTACGGAGTTGTCATTTGAAACTCTACAGCTGACATTGTGGAGCTAGGTTAATGGTATTAAACAGAAGAACTTGTGCACACCTACAGTTCTCATGGGCATTTTAAAAGGATAGAATTAGATAAAAAGTGAGTATAGTGTTACCATGGTGATTCACTTGCTGTCTAAATTAAGCAGCAAAAGTCTTCTCTTAGCTATAAGGAATGAAATCACATGACAACTAAGTATTAAAAATAGGTCGATTGTGAAATTGCCAAAATGGTTTCATTGATGACAGCTCAAAAATCACATCCTGAAGGAAAATTAGCACTTATTACTGATGAGTTGGAATTGGCACATCCAGTCTTTCATGGGCGCTTATACTGAACAAGGGATCTCCAGACTGGATTTCTTGAGTTAACCAGAGATCTCCAGACTCTAGAGTGAAACTGTTTGAGTAAACCAGGGATATCCAGACTCTAAAGTGAAACTGTTTGAGTTAACCAGAGATCTCCAGACTCTAGAATGAAACTCTCTGAGTAAACCAGAGATCTCCAGACTCTAGAATGAAACTCTCTTGAGTAAACCAGAGATCTCCAGACTCTAGAATGAAACTCTCTTGAGTAAACCAGAGATCTCCAGACTCTAGAATGAAACTCTCTGAGTAAACCAGAGATCTCCAGACTCTAGAATGAAACTCTCTGAGTAAACTAAAGTACTCCAGACTACCAACAGAATGTCTAACATACTGAATCAACTGAAGAGATCTTTAAACTATAGATGCATGTATGATACAGAGTAGTGAGTCCAGCACCATGTCAATAACTTTTTAGCATTTATAACCACAAGTGGTGTACTATTCAATATAGTTAGGTTACGGTAACCCTGATTACAGATCATATGTCAGATAAGTGCATAATTGTTGTTTCAAGTTATTTTTTCCCAAATATTACATTTGAACTAGTTTAAGATACTACGTTAAAACTTGAAACACTTATAACATTACAAAGATACAAGGTTTATTGCACTGCAATAAGGTTACTGTGACCTTACTGGTAATTATCAGCAAATATATCAAAACCAGAAGTCAGCATTATTAAACAGTACATTTTTTCTATGTTTATTACAGAAAGACTGTCCAGATGGGTTATTGTGTAAGAGTAAATTCTTGGATGTGTACTCAACATTCTTCCCTACTGGGACTCCAGACACTTTTTGTGAACATGTGTTCCGATCATTTGACAAAGACAATAGTGGGAAGATAGATTTCAAGGAGTTCCTGCTGGCCATTAACATTACATCTGGTGGAAACCCTGAGGATAAATTAAACTGGGCCTTTAATATGTACGATATAGATGGAAACGGATCTATCGAAAAGAAAGAAATGGTTGAAATTATTGCGGTAAGTAATAGGATCCTGATCATCATTAAAGTGTGGCTGTGACGAAATAGCATGAAATTTATGTGCAATTTCTAAAGCTTTGAAGGTTATAAATGCCACAACAGGTTTTAACAGTATGACACTGGTACATGTCCTACATCACTGTGACAGGATGTTCAATCTCCACAAGAGAAAAACATTAACCTGCAGATTATATTAAGTGAATACACACAATCTTATGCATACAGTTAGGACCTAACCATTGTCCTGTTATCCACTTGGTTAATGTTTCCACACAAACAGTTAGGACCTAACCATTGTCCTGTTATCCACTTGGCTAATGTTTCCACACAAACAGTTAGGACCTAACCATTGTCCTGTTATCCTCTTATTTTCCGTAAACAGTAAATAATTTTTTTTTCGCTTCTCTCAGCACCTGTCCACTTAAGATGATGTAGGGGAGGTAACTCCAGTAATAATTCCAAGTGCTTAACACAAATATGTTACACTTCTGAAAAATGTAAATAAACAGCAACATCAAAGAACAAAATCTGAACTCCAATCTGAAATATTACTGGGTGATATAAACAGCTATGCTGAGAATAATCCTTTTTGTCAAACTATATAAATACAAAATATTAGTTAGCTTATTCTATAAAATGTTAATAATAACATAAGATTTGTTCACTTCTTCTGTCACAAATATTTAGATACCAAAAGATTTGTTAGCTTTTTTTGTAAAGTAATTATATTCATAGTTAGAAATGCACCAAAAACAAAAGGTGATGTACAATCACATTTAAACAGTTGAATGTCAACTTACAAGTTCATAAATAACATGTGATATGAAATAAACAAATATCAAAAGGTATAATGGCAGAGTTGTGCTGTTTGTGATGGTACCAGGGTGATGTTGAGGTCTTTCTTTTAACTGGACATGGTCTTCTTATGGTTCGCTTGCAGATATCTGGTCACTCATAACAAATATCTGTACGGATGTTTTCACTTCAGCAGGTGAGGACCTGGGACATCAACCATTTGTACATGAAGAAGACAAGATCAATATGACATAGTAATAATATGATGATATGTCAAGAAACTCAAATGAAGGAAACTGGTGTTGTTTTTTACTTATCTTTGAAATGAGTTGTACAATATCAATTTTCAGTCATGCCGGTCAACACTCTGTATATACTGATGTACATTTCTCTGTTTCTAGGCTATATACAACATGTTGGGCAATGCTTTGTGTGGACAAGAGACAGATACTCCAGAAGACCGTACAGAAAAGATATTTGATAAAATGGACGAAAACAGTGATGGTGTGTTAAGCAAGAAGGAATTCATCGAGGGATGTATGAAAGATCAGTTTCTATATCAAATGCTGACAGCAGACGCTGCAGGAAACCAATAGTTGGTACACATAGAGTGTGACATAACATTACCATGTACAGTTTGTATATCTCCGTATATCTCAATCATTTCAGCATTTTGATTTTTTTCTTTTTTAAGAAAAAATTATCCTCTTTAACCGAAGTGGCTTGTTACAAACAAAAAGTGGATTTTTTGTACACATACCTATTGATATGTGTGCATGCATTTCATACATGACATTTGAAGTTATGAATCTAGTAGTGTCAGAATAAATTTTTAAGAAAAAGTTATTTTCCAACTTTAGGATTTTTCTTTTAATTTGCTATAATGTTAGAACAACTTTTTCAAATGGAGATACAAAATTCTTATCCATTGTGATATAAGTATTATTTGATAAAACATCTAGATGTATGTTTAATGCAGACAATAAGTTGGTAATCAGTTCTGTATGTGAAGGAGATATTCTCCAACAAGTGATATGTGTGAAGTAATATATGAAGGAATAAAACAAGACTGTTATAAAGGTCACCTTAAGTGAACCGAGTGAACCTGTCAATACACAAACCTGACTCATTTTAGTCTGGATCTCATTACAACTTCATCATAGTTTTTACCATAAGGCTGTTATTCATTCTAACGTCAAAATATACTAAAATCCTCCAACGACAGTATGAAAATATATATACACAAGAGGTTATCATCTACAGTCATCTAAGGACCATTTCTTGTTTACAATTGTTTAAAATGTAATTTTGTATGTATCATGTGTACCTTTTTCAGTGTTATTTGCACACACCATCGCTGTACATAGTTAGTGTAGCAGTTTTTTCCTCTTTATATAAACCACATGGTTGGGGCTTTATTTGCACACACCACCATGCCGGATATTAATTGTCGTGCCACCAAGCATAACATTATATGTTTTGCCACGAAATGTGGCATTTATTGTTGTGCCACCAAGGGTGGCATTTGTTGTCATGCCATCAAGTGTGGCATTTGATGTCTGAAGGTCCAGGTCAGAAAAACCATAATGAGTTATCACCCTTTGCACGGAGTATCGTACTACACACTTAAGTAATTGTAGTGTTTCAATCATCATGTTTAGAGAGTGTTATAATTACAGTATGAGTGGGATTCAGTCTTACCTCTTATAAATTATTTTCATTCCTCGTAGTCAGTGAAACAGTTTCATTTTTCATACTGTTCACAGAAGAATTCAAATTTAATCTTAACTGAAGAATATTGATCCAGATTATTTTTTTTGTTATTTGTGTGTCATTTCACCATTCATCACCTACTCTGTCCAACACTTCACATCACATAAATTCCTGAGCAAATGTTATGCCAGAGAAAAAATATTGTTCAAAATTTTGTGGTTGTTGATAAAATTTGGAAATATTATTTTTATCACATTTGCCAAAATCAAAGATAAACAGTTCTTGGTATATAAAACCCCTGATTGATGTTACAAAACTCCTGGACTGTACAGAAAGGGCTCTTATATGATTACAAGACTTATTGAGAACTTACATACTGTAGTTTTTCATCAAGTGATATTACTTTGATCCTTGCTTAGAGATTTGAACATATTTAGATGTACTTGTTAATTTTTGATGATTGAATTAGAGGGAAGAGATAGGATATAGATATATCATTGTGATAATATCTCAAAAGTTCATAAGGCATTCAATATCAAACATTTTCCTTTGAATTAATTAGATAATAACAATATGAAAGTAAGGATGTGTGCAAGTTGATTGGAAATACTGTAGATATATTGCCCAAATTTTAATTGGCATGTAGTTTTTCAAAAAAAAACAAAACAAAAAATGAAGACAGCTTGATATGTTACATGGTGACTAATGCTACTCTACATTAAGATATCTGGATTGAGATACGTGTAGGTGTGGGTTATGTCTGACACCTTTCATACAAGATCGTACATTTTGTCAGGTATCCACATCTCAGAGATTCATTAGGTACTGTGTGTTATTGTTTTATGGAAGAATGGAGACATGCTAGTGTAGTCTTACAACTTGGAAATGTCCGATACAGTACATATCAGTCAACACCCATATCCATTTTGTCAAATTCTACAACACAGCTCACCCACTATCACAGCCATTAGTTGCTGATAACATGATCATGTGATAAACCCTGGTTTGGTCGTTTTTCTCAAGTGGATCATGTCCTTATTTTATGCTGAAAATAAACACTACAGAAAAAAAATGAGATTGAATACTCCTGTAAATATTTCCAACATGGTGGTAGTTCTCAGCAGATAAACATTCTGTTAAAATACAGTTAGGAAATTTAATTTAATTTGAAGGGTGTGGTCTATTGCTACCTTCAACTTCAGTAGGTTGACTTCTAAATGAAACATTACAATGGCTATTTACTCATAATAAAGGAGGAATTTCACTATACTTGTATCATGTGATGAATATCTGTGTATGAGATTTTGGACGAATACCTAAATAGTCATACAAAAGGGCCAAGATTCCTGTATATTTACTAAATAGCTAATATTTACAAAAAGGTGTTCATCTATGTATTCATACTGAAGGTTGAACAGTTATATAATTCATACCAATCAATGTACATTTATGCATTCATACAAATTTATTATGAAGGTTGAGAAATTTTGTATTCATATAAATTATAAAGCTTGAACATTTATGTATGTATACTGAAGGTTGAACATATATTTATTCACACTAAAGGTTGAATAATTATTTATAGGAGGGACTGAATATTTATGTATTCACACTAAAGGTTGAACATTTATGTATTCACACTAAAGGTTGAACATTTATGTATTCACACGAAAGGTTGAACATTTATGTATTCACACTAAAGGTTGAATATTCATGTATTCACACTAAAGGTTGAATATTCATGTATTCACACTAAAGGTTGAATATTCATGTATTCACACTAAAGGTTGAATATTCATGTATTCACACTAAAGGTTGAATATTCATGTATTCACACTAAAGGTTGAACATTTATGTATTCACACTAAAGGTTGAATATTCATGTATTCACACTAAAGGTTGAACATTTATGTATTCACACTAAAGGTTGAATATTCATGTATTCACACTAAAGGTTGAACATTTATGTATTCACACTAAAGGTTGAATATTCATGTATTCACACTTAAGGTTGAATATTTATGTATTCACACTAAAGATTGAATATTTATGTATTCACACTAAAGGTTGAATATTCATGTATTCACACTAAAGATTGAATATTCATGTATTCACACTAAAGGTTGAATAGTCATGTATTCACACTAAAGGTTGAACATTTATGTATTCACACTAAAGGTTGAATATTCATGTATTCACACTAAAGATTGAATATTCATGTATTCACACTAAAGGTTGAACATTTATGTATTCACACTAAAGGTTGAACATTTATGTATTCACACTAAAGGTTGAATAGTCATGTATTCACACTAAAGGTTGAATATTCATGTATTCACACTTAAGGTTGAATATTTATGTATTCACACTAAAGGTTGAATATTTATGTATTCACACTAAAGGTTGACTATTTATGTATTCACACTAAAGGTTGAATATTTATGTATAGGAGGCACTGAATATTTATGTATTCATAATAGCATATATGGTTTTTGCAAGATAAGGTGAATGTGTGTTATGTTATCTGTATGTAAATGACATACTTTACTGTTGGCATACATTTATACACACTTAGTTCTCTCCTGTTGCTATGTACAGAGAAACAATATACCTGGGCTGATCAGGGGTGAACACAGTAGTCTACTGGTACAGAGTGACCTATGTTTGTCATGTATATAATGATGACCTTGTTTATCAGAGAGAAAGAGACAGTTACCCTGGCTGTATATATATATATATATATATATATATATATCAATCACAATGATTTGTACATAGACACTCCAAGCTTAACTCCTAATCGTTATCAAATCTAAATATGCATTGTATTCATAAACTTTGAAATGTGTAGACCAACGCTTTGTTATTAATGTTTCACTTGAGGGTGTATCACTTCCTCTGTGGTTATCCACAGCTGTCACAAAACATTTACTAATAGGCTCACTCCAACTATTTATCTGTCTGAACACAAGTTTTAATAGGCTCACTCCAACTATTTATCTGTCTGAACACAAGTTTTAATAGGCTCACTCCAACTATTTATCTGTCTGAACACAAGTTTTAATAGGCTCACTCCAACTATTTATCTGTCTGAACACAAGTTTTAATAGGCTCACTCCAACTATTTATCTGTCTGAACACAAGTTTTAATAGGCTCACTCCAACTATTTATCTGTCTGAACACAAGTTTTAATAGGCTCACTCCAACTATTTATCTGTCTGAACACAAGTTTTAATAGGCTCACTCCAACTATTTATCTGTCTGAACACAAGTTTTAATAGGCTCACTCCAACTATTTATCTGTCTGAACACAAGTTTTAATAGGCTCACTCCAACTATTTATCTGTCTGAACACAAGTTTTAATAGGCTCACTCCAACTATTTATCTGTCTGAACACAAGTTTTAATAGGCTCACTCCAACTATTTATCTGTCTGAACACAAGTTTTAATAGGCTCACTCCAACTATTTATCTGTCTGAACAGAATTTTTTTGCTGGTTTCTTAATTTTCCAATCAGTATAAGCTTCAAAGAAAGACACAAGGACAAGGGGGGCATGGTATTTCAGCTGAAGACCCCTGGGTCATTTTGTGTTTCTCAGGAAGCTTTACGGTAATAGTTATGACCTTTGAGTAGCATGTGTTGGCCTTCTGCATTATTTTTAATGAGATAGCCACCTGAACTACTGCAAGGAGAGCCCACTTTAAAGTGACCAAGGCTGTCCATAAGGCAAATAAACCCAGATATCAAACAGACAATGACAAACTCAGACAATTATCTTACAACAGAAAAAATATCTGGTACTTCTTGACTTACTAAAAATTTTAGATAAAGTCTCACGATAACTAAAGATGAAACTAAATGGAAAATCCTGTCAGCAACTGATCCGATTTTCTTGTCGAAATTCTTCAGTAAGGCAGTTCAAATTATTCCAAAAATTCTGAAGTAGAGGTTAAAAGGAGTTCCTTAGTTAGGGTTAGCAGGACTCTGTGTCTCTACTAGACTGGCAGGAGTTCCTTAGTTAGGGTTAGCAGGACTCTGTGTCTCTACTAGACTGGCAGGAGTTCCTCAATTACAGTTGACAGAATCTCTCGATTAGGACAGGAAGTCCCAACTTTATCTAAAATTCCATAGATGTTGTAAACAGGAGTTGTTCAGTGAAGGTTGACAGTAGGTCCCTAGTTGGCAGGA